TTTTTTGGTTGCAGCCATCCTTGTTGTTTGGCGGTCCGGGCTGAGGATTCGAACCCGCCACCTTAGGTGTATGTGGCTGGCGCCTTAGCCGCTTGAGCCACAGGCGCCGAGCCAGCTTGTTTGTTTGTTAACAACAATAAGAGGACTTATTTTTCATTTATTGAACAGTTACTATGTGTCAGCACTATGTTTTCTGTATTATAGGGAATTTTGTCTTCATGGTGACTGTTATGTTATTATGTTATCCCCATTTAACAAATGAGAAGATAAAACCACATAGTTTAAATAACAGAACACAGCTAATATATAACACAACAGAAATTTAAATCTTGCTTCTTGCCTCAAGATCTTGTCGTCTCCTTTTCTGAATAGGAAAGCATTCAGTTTAGAAATAACAGATGAGAATACCTTAGTCATTGTAATAGAATGAGGTAAAAGTCTAATAATTTATACCATTAGTAAGCTTTGACAAGTGCCTATTTGGGGGCTTGAAAGAGAGGATTTTACTCTGGTTTTAGGTGAACTTTCAATATTAGGTTTGGTAATCCATAAAGTTGAACAGGACTGGATGACAGCATTACGTATTTCCTTGACACCATCTTTGTGCTTCATGTTTATGCATTATGAAGTTTAAATTCAGTACAATCACAAGAAGATTGAATTCTGCAGATGGACTTGTGAAGGTTCAGTAATCCTCTCTTCCTTGTGACATAAAGACATAAATATTGCAATGAGAGTGCATTTGGGAGAACGTAATAAATACCAGTACAGTTTGAATCCCCCACTCAAAGCTCCTTCTATGAAGGGGACATATCTATTAATTTCAATAAGCACTTACCTGTCTGTGAATATGCTTTTAGGAGGTGGGAATGAAAACTGGGCATTTGCTCTAAATCTGCTTGCAGTCTAGCTGGATGGTATCGTTCCAGGTGACACACAGCTGGTGGACATTACAGTCAGTCCATTTAACGTTAAGGTCTTTTTGTTCTCCTTGATAGTTAGCTGTACGAAGATAAAGTTTACTTATATCTAAGCAAAAAGTTATGTTTGCTTTGTAGCAAACATAAATGCAGTCATTTAAGAAAAGATGTTTCTTTTCTAATCAAATGCAATATAATATTTTGAAGGGCTAAAAAGAAAATAGAGAATTTTTTTTTAAAACCAAGATGTTACCTCCTATTTTTAGGATGGTATTCAGCCAAAAATATGTGCTTTCAGCTGTTTGTTCTATATGGCAGTTAGAAATGGTGCCAATTGTTTTTGACTGACCCCTATTTTTGACTCTGTGAGTCTAATTTAATTGAACGTGAAATCATGTGGAGGAGTCTGCCCACCTTCTAGACATTTAAAAAAGCCCTAGCAAAAGAGCTTCAGTTCCAGTACCAGCTTTTCCACTATTGTGAAGCTGGTGTATCTTCAGCTTTGAGTCTTGTCATCAGGTTATATCACCCATTCCTGTTGCTTATTGTTACCTACTGACATTTGCTTCATTTTTTTTTTTTTT